GTGAGGGGGGGAATGTTTTGGTACATCTTGTACCAGCACGTGGCACAATGACAGCAGTGTCATTAGGGTTTCAACACAGAATTTGTCTAATTAGGCAGGAGTGATGTAGGATGCAGGGACAAGGGATTTTTTATTAGATCTGCTGCATGCAGGGTGAAGATACCTGTGCTATCTTCAGTCCTAAATGCTAGCTTTGCAAGAAAGAGTACCATTTTCTAAGAATTGGGAACATCTGGTTTATGTGAAGTTAACTGCTGCCAGTAGTTCAGCTGGTTTGGGGTGGAGAATATCATCTAGGCAGAGGTCCTGAGTGCAACACCTTGAGAAGGAATTCTGTTGGAGCAAATAGCAGCTTCTCTTGAGAGATTTGCTGAAGCTTCAGCAGGTAGACAGCATCTGGTTAGGCAATCTTATTTTTGAGTAGCAGTTTCATACTACAGAAGAAAAATCTGGAAGGTGAGGTGGCTGAATCTTAATGTCAATTAGCTGGTTGGTACACAAATGTTGGATAGCTGGCAGATGGGAAAACTGGGCCAGTTCAGCATCAGGTATGTTACTGCAGCCCTGAACACAACAGCTGCATTGCTGACGTGCTGGATGTGCTGCAGACTGTGTTCCCCCCCAAACAAGAAGGGAAATTTGAGGCTGCTGCTTTCCAACACTGTCATCGGCAGGTTTTGTGTCTTGCCAAGACTGAGTATGAGATCATTAAACAGGGTGCACTTCTGGCTCTTTAGTGGAATATTTTTGCTTATTGACAATATATTTTCACCTATATAGCCAAGCAATGAGCTTATTCTTTGACTGCTGCACTTGGTTCTGTGGGTTTTGTGCTGATGCTCCATGCTCCCTAGTTCACTGATGTTAGGATCTGGTTTAGCTGAAAGTACTGTTTTCACCATGGATTCTTCTAGGCAGTTCAAGGAAGAACCTGATCATCTTGATAGTGTTCACATGTTGAATTTCTTCCTTTTGCTTATAAGTAACTTGGCCTTATGGTATGAATAGAAACACCTTTTCATGAATTTTAGGACAAACAGTGGTCCAGTGTTGAGGTTTTTTGTCCTTTTTATCCTCTTAAAATAAATACAGAGAATAAAAGTGATTTTTTTCTGTATGTGCTTTTATTACTTAGCTTTTGTATTTTGAAGTTAGCAATCTAACCAGTAGTAGTTGTCTGTGGTTTGTTTGTTTCCCTGTTTTCAGTCCTTGCTTGTGTTTCTGCCTTGCATTGCCTTGTTGTGGTTTTAGTTTGTGTGTCACCTTTCTGTGCCATTTTCTTACCTGAAAAAGTAACACTGATATCTAGATCTATATTGCAGAAACAGTAAAATTTGTTACTGTTTTCTAAGGGTAAAAAAATAAAAATATTCATATGCCAGTTGTGTATAAGTAGCCCCTGAGATAGTCTGCAAACCATTTTTTTGTGGCTTCCCAACCGTTACTAGATTGAGCCTTTCTTGAATCAGACTCTGATGGTAATTTAAAACTTGTTTGTTTTGACTTTCAGGTGGTTTGAAATAAATATGCCCAACTATTTTGTGGCTCCAAACTACAACTGTTCAGGAAGTTGGTTCTGCAGCTGCCTGTGAATGCAGTCTGAAGGTCTGCAGTGTGCCAGAGAGCATCAGCCAGGACCCGAGGACATTCAATAACCAGGAAAATGACTGTCTTTCTCAAGGAAGAAACAAAGGAGAAACCTTTATTTCTTGCATAGCTGAAGGCAAAGCAATACAATCTTGACACCTGGTTTACTCAAAGAAGCTTTTTTCAAAATATCTCTTGACTGTGAGTCCTGTAACTCTTGACACAAACGTGCCTTTGGACCTGTGCAAATAAATCATTGGGATTGGGCAAAGTGGTCACTGAGAGAGTGACTGTGGAAGAATCATGACAAAGCACTTGGAGATCATCAATTTGTCATTTTTGTTGGAACATGAAAGGGAAGCAATATTGGGAGTATTGAAGAGAGATGAGTATCTGAAGAAAGTTGAAGATAAAAGGATAAGGTAACTCTTTTTGTGATTGCTCTTAAAAATAAGGTAACATAAAGAGATTGCTAAATCCAAATCTAGTATTAACAGTTTGCCCCACAAGCACAATTCCGAGATGGTCAGGATTCATCTCTAAGTCAACTCTGGCTTGGGCCTAATGTCCAAGCCCTAGCATTTCAGCAGCTCATTTCCCTGGGGGAACGTAGTGTCTCATCTAAATGGAGTGAGCTAAAAGTGGTTACTTCTGCTGCTGCCAGACTGGAAGGAAAGGTATTTCTTTATGGTGGTGTGGGAAAATTAATCATTTTGTCATCTTCAAGATTTGTCAGATGAAGAAGCAGACAGATGGAGCACTGTTTGTTCCAGGCATTGTGCTCTATTTTGTAGTAAGATGAAAAATTCAATTTCAGTATTTCAGTTTTCTAAGGTGACAACCTTGGAAATGTGTGACATGCCAGTAGTCATCTGTCAAAGGCATCAATATGAAGTGTTTCACTGGCTCCTTAAGGCCCTGAAAAGCTTTCTCTTCTACTACTGTTATTTCTCAATCTCAAGTGCAAAGTTGAAACTCCTGAGGTTTTGTGATGTGGGGTGTTTTTTGGGTGGGTTGTTTGTTTGTTTTCTTGGTTGGTTGGTTGGTTGGTTGGGGGTTTTTTGGGCACTACTGGAAGTCACTCTGCAATCCTACTGAGTCTGAGAACCCAAGGCACCTCTGAGGCTGAGATTCAATAAAACCATAGGTGGTATTAGCTTATCAGTGTTCTGGTGCAAACAGAAAGAGCACCCTAAGAAAATGCCGAAAAATGAAGTTAATCTGAATTATAATGCTAATTAGGATAACTAATTATACAATGTGATGCTTATGCATACTTCTAGCACCTGTATCTGAACAGATTTCAGATTCATTGTCACTAGACTGTATTGTGCCTGATACAAAGTTTATAAAAGTCTTCCAAGATAGAAAAACTGTTAGAGTTGCATGAGTAACTGCTTCTTAGGAGACTTCTTAATTTTTCTTTCTCAATACAGTTTGGCAAGAATATCTAATTAGGGCTCATAAGTATACTTCAGAGGAACATTTGTTGTCTTTGGAATTCCATTTGGTACAATCTGTTATATATTTTATTAAGTACTTTGCAAAAGAACAAGTCCCTTTGTAATTACTTTCAAGGCATTTTTCACTCTGAGAAGATGCTTACTTGTACATTGTACTGAAGAATTTTTATTAGTGTGTTCTACTCTTTCTGAATCTACCTTGATAATTGTTTTTTTCTGTTCCTATTAGTCTTCAAAAGCCATTGTAACTTGAAAGGGCCTTTTTCTATTCAACATGAAACTAATAGTAAATGTAGGAGGATGTCCTAATAATTGCATTGTTAAGAATTATTTTCACTATCACTGCTCATACTTTTGTTCTGGATTGCAGGTGGTTCTTTGTATTTTTATTTGATGCACAAATATTTCACCCATGTGGGAAACCATGCCAAGAGCTACAACTTCTTGCTGCTGCTTTGGTTGCATTTTGTAGGATTGTGGCCCTTGTGGGGTTTTTTTTCCTCATCTTTTCAAGGCATCAGATTTTCATATTTACTTGTTAGATGGACTTAATATAGGAATCTAGGATCTGAGTAATTTCTTAAATTAGGCTTTGGCCAAGGTTTTGGGTTTGTTTGGGGTTTTGTTTTGTTTTGTTTCCTGCTCTGATATTTCATAAGGGCCTTTTAGGTCACATTTGGAAAGGCTTAGATTAAGTCATTCTGTGTTGCCTGGAATACTGGTTACAACAGAACTCCTCTCCAGTGCACTTAACATATTTCCTCAGACAGTAGAGGGATCTTAATATAAATTCACAGTTTAGAGGAATGGCTACACAGTCTATTATACTTGGCAGAAACAAATTTGTTTTTAAGTTGTCTTCTATCAAACAGCTGTTGCAATAGATGGTTGAGAAACTTCAGTGTATGATAGGATTCCTTTTCTCTAGCAGCTTATTAAATTGGCTTCTGCTGAGGTTTTTTTTTCATTATACTTGGAGAAGATTGATAAAGATTAATACTTAATATTTGAGATTAAAAATATCTAACTGCATGTTGAAATGTATTCATTTGAAATTATGGTGGGCTCAAATGGTAGAGTGGCAAAAGGAAATTGGGTGTTTATAATACAGCTGGTTCCTGCCTTGGGAGATAAATGAAGCAGTAAGTCAGCACAGCCACAGGCTGCACTTGTTAGCCCTTTTCAATGCTGTGTAACTAGTGCAGCTAGCTGTGGTCCTTTGGAGCTATTATGATGATGGATTTTTTTTTTCAGGTGACTCACTCACCTCCTCCTCCTCCTCCTCCTGGCCCTTGAGACAGTTCATTAGTTTCTCAAGATCAGAACATATTTGTTACAGTCAATAGTTCAACAAATAGTGTAGGAAATCCCAAAAGAAAGTTATTATCCAGTGTATCTGTCCATACATTGTTTGCTTGCTTTTTGATTTTTCTTTTATTTGTTTGAGTGAGTGGAGAAGCTGTGGGTTGATTTGTTTTCTGTCAGTTCCCTGGAAGGCATCAAAAGCAGCTTTGTATTAAAAACAAGAAAACAAATGTTTTTCAGAATTCATAGTGTTAGCAGATCAGCTAAACCCAAAGAGTTTTGGATTGTGTATTACATAAGCAGTGGAAAACATTTGCAATCACCATTACTGGTAATAGGAACAATACCATTTTAATGTTGAAAGAACATTGATAAATTTTTCAATGTGATGATCTCTAAGCAAATTTTTTGTTATTTTTTTAAATTGCTTTGTTTGTTGGTTTGGGCCAATAGTGATTTGCTAATTTTAAATTGGAACTATTTAAAACACAGATTTTGTGCCCAATAGTATTTCTAACTAAGCACAAAAGGGCCTGGGGGTTGCAGGGGGAGGGGGAAAGCTGGAATGGAAGTTCAGTGAAGGTTTTGTTTCACTGTTAGGCACCTGGATGTATACTAGAGGGCACAGTGATAATTACCAAAAAGAGTGCATCACACTGCCTGTGAAGTTCTTGACATGCATGGGTCACTGTTGAATTAAATTTTTTGAGTAAAAATAAGCCACTGGAAATAAACTTATTATGAAAAAAATCTGCAAGTCACATTATTTAAACCACTATTTCTCTTTGTCTTTAAAAATGTGGTAACACCACAGTCTGTTTAGGTGTTTTAGGCTTTTTTTAGGCTTTCTATAACTGGTACAGAATTGCATAAGCATTCCTAGCTAACTTTACACTGGCATAGTATTAAATGCACACTAATTCCAGGAAAGATTTTCTTCTTTTCCTTCTGTGGATGCACAGGGTAGTTAGTCCCAATTCTGAGCTGCTGTCAGTCTGGGCTCAGCATGACTTGAATTATTGGTGAAGGCAAGCAAAGATGGTTTATCAGTTGTCTAAAAGTGCTTAGCTGTCTGCAGTGACTTACGCCAATTCACCACAAGATTTTCCTCTTGACTGCATGTCTGAGACCTGAGGATAAATTTTCTTTTGTTATATGTGTGTCAAAAATACAGCAAATATGTATTTTTTGAAGTATTTGTGTCTTGCTTTTTTTTTTTTTTAACCTCTAAATCTTAATCTATTAAAAAAGTCTTACAGATCATTGAGTTGAATCTCCAAGTTAAGAGGTTTTATTTTCTTCTAGGAAATTGAAAAATGAGCTTCTGGAAGTAAGAAGGAAAGGTGGAAGCCGTCACTGTCACCAGGACAGCAGCAGGGTGTGTGTTCGCTGTCAGAAAAGCCTGGGATTGATCTTTGACAGGGGAGACCTGTGCCAAACCTGTGAGCTGCGAGTCTGCGGCGCGTGTCGCGTTCTGGGACCCGATGGGCAGTGGAAGTGCTCAGTGTGCGCCAAGATCGCGTGAGTTGTGCAGTTTCGTAAATACATTGGGAGATTACCACTGTGTATGTAATTCTGTGCTGATGTTGCTGTTGCACAGCCCCTTAGCACAGAAGCAAATACACAGTGAATACACAAGGAAGAGGTTTACCTGGTGGGTTTAGTTGCTGCACTGTCTTGCACTATCTCTTTTCCCAGTTCCAAGCCAGTTGCAAGTAGCTGGTTTTCCATAGAAAGCTGCAAGCATCACAGACATTAGGCTGTTTGTGGTAGTACTCTGAAAATGACAGAAAATCAGTGACAATCCAGTGACAGTCTCTTCATATTAGGAAGGCACAAATGGAAGAATCAAGTAATTCAAAATCAACAAAACAGAGTTAAGAACAAGTGAGGTCTGACTGTTCTGACTGACGTCGTAGGTCGAATTGTAAGGAGAGAGATGTAGAATTTGTGAGCCCAAGTGTTTCAGTCCATGTTTCTATCCTTGTGGTTTTTTCTGCCTTTTACAGTCACTGAACATCTCTGCATGAATCAAGAGGGCTGTACTTGTCCTGCCTCTCTTAGTGAACATTCTAAACTAAATTGTTCAGTGATTGGAGGTAAAACATAAGGGGCTATCACATTTCTCACAGTTGGAATATTGAGTGTGGAGAATGAAGGAGGAAGGCAGTCAATGTCTCAGAGTGCCAGTGGACATCAGTGACAAGTGGTGTCCCTCAAGGGTCCATATTGGGACCAGTGTTATTTAATATCTTCATTATTGACATAAACTTCATTAGTGACATAGACGAAGGGATCGAGTGCACCCTCAGCAAATTTGCAAATGACCTCAAGATCAGCAATGCAGTTGCCACACCTCAAGGACAGGACACCATCCATCTCATGTGGTTTATCAAGTGCAAGGTCCTGCACCCGGGTCGGGGTAACCCCTGGTGTCAGTCCAGGCTGGGGCTGAGCAGAGCAGCCCTGCCAGGAGGGGCTTGGGGGTGCTGGGGTTGAGAGGCTGTGGCTCAGCAATATGTACTTGCAGCCCAGAAAGCCAAATGTGTCCTGGGCTGCATCCCCAGCAGTGTGGGCAGTAGGATGAGAGAGGTGATTCTGCTCTGGTGAGATCATACCTTGAATATTGCATCCAGCTCTGGGGCCCCCAGCACAGGAGGGACATTGTCCTGTTGGAGCAAGTCCAGAGGAGACCACCAAGTTAGTTAGAGGCATGAACCACCTCTCCTATGAAGAAAGGCTGGGAGAATTGGGATTGTTCAGCCTGGAATGGAGAAGATTCAGGGGTGACCTAATTGTAGCCTTCCAATACCTGAAGGGAGCCTACAGGAAAGATGGAGAGAAACCTTTTTACAAGGACATGTAGTGGCAGGACAAGAGGGGGTTGGTTTCAAACTAAAATAGAGTAGGTTTAAAGGAAATACTAGGAAGAAGTTCTTTACTGTGAGTGTGCTGAGGCACTGGAACAGGTTGCATAGGGAAGTTGTGGATGCTCTATCCCTGGAGGTGTTCAAGGCCAGGTTGGATGGGACTCTGAGCAACCTGGTCTAGTGGAAGGTGTCTCTGCCCATGTCAGAGGGTTGGAACTAGATGATCTTTAAAGTTCCTTCTTGATTAGTGTGGTAGTATGCAATTTTTTTAACTTGACTCAGTAAGATAATCATGAAGAAAAGGAGAAATGTATTGGGCACCAAAACTCAGTTATGTATCTTGAGGTGAGAACCAGATGGTATAAGAAAAAGATGTGAAAAAATAATGATGTAATAGGG